GACACCCCCCCCCCCCACCTGTCACCTTGTGCTCCAGGCACCTGATAGACCATAAACTGAGCTGCCACAGCCCTGGGCAGTGGAGACCAGAGGAACAGGCTTGGATGGGGGCCAGTGTGGTCCAGCCTGGCCCTCCCTCACCTCCATCTGAGGCCCACTTAGGAAGGTTGCCTTCCCTCTGCCAGCCTCAGTGTGGCCATCACTACAATGGGGAGATTACCTTTAGCCCCAAAGCGTTGTCCTGAGGATTTACTCTGATTCTCCGGGGATGTTTATCAAGTGACTGCTGGGTGGTGTCAGGGCCCAGGAGAGCCCCTCCTGCGTCTCTGCTCTGAAGCGCCCCCCTGCCCCGAGTTCACAGGTGTCAGCTGGACTCCAGCCTGGCCCCAGGCTCCCTGCGTGACCTTAGGCAGACCTCTCCCTTTTTTTCCTGGGCTATCATAAGGCAATTCTGAGGGGGTGTGAGAATAAGCTGTCCTCAGCCTCCAAGGCCCCCAGGGTGGGGGGATTTAGTCCCCTGCTGGCACCTGGGGCAGTGTGTGTGGGGGCAGGTGGGTGGAGCCCTGGAAGGACTAGTTAGGCGAGATAGAGCCAGACAGACGACCTGTGTTCGAATCCTGCTCCGCCGTGCGACCCAGGCAGGTTGCCTCAGTGACCTGGCCCGTGAAGTGGGGTGGTGATCATAGGCCCCACTTTCCAGAGCTGGGAGGGTTGACACCGGGTCGACCAAGACCTGTTGGGGGACCATCCCCGGCCCTGGGGGGCCTGAGGCCCAAGTTTCTGAAGCAACAGAGCGCGAAAGGCGCCCTCTGGAGAATCTGGCCACAGAAGCAGGCCCTCCATCTGTCCCCCAGCAGGCCGGGAACGGCCACGGGGTGGAAGCGTCCCCACCCACGCCTTTCTGGTTCAACTGGAAAACAGGGCCCTGTCCCACCTCCTGTCAGGATGTGTTTGGTAGCCGGGAAGGGCTGGATCTGTAAGCACAGGAGCCTGGGGACCCCATGGGCCATGCGCCCCTCTGTCTGGTGTTTCCAGGCTGAGTCTTCCACCTGCTCAGGCTGCAGGTGGGGGCGGGGGTGGTGCCTCCAGGTGACAAGCTGGCCTCTGGGGAGGGCATGAAGGAGCAATCTGGATGAAGAGAGGGGCAAGGCCCCTAGAAGTCACCCAGGCCTCTCTTGGGCATCTTGGATAAGCACGTGCAACCTGAGCTAAGGGCAGGGTAGACACTGGTGGGCTTCCATGAAGCCCAGCTTTGGTTACCCCCAGTGACAGGAAGCTTACTCCTTCCACCTCCACTGAAAACAGATCTTGTCTTCTCAGGGCTTCCTCTTGAAACCTGGGCTTGGTGTCAGGACTGCACTTCCTGGCCCAATACAGCGCTCAGAGCGTGGGAACAGGGTGGGCCTTGGCCCCACCCATGAGCTGGGGGTCAGATAGGAGCCCCATGACCTCCTAATCCCCACCCCCTCCGGTCTCCACACACACACTTCCCAGTGGGCCCACAGCCTTCCTGCCTCTGGCCCTTTAAGGCCCGGGCAGGAAGCCCCTCCCCATTTAGGGCAATAAATGGACACATAAAATGGCCGAGGGCCTGTTTGCTGGTGTCTGGCCCGGAGGGAGGCCTGTGAGGGCAGGCGGGCAGGGGGCCGGCCAACAGCTGGCAGCCACAGTCACCCTGAGCCGTTGGTGCCCCCCACCCCCCGACCAGGACGCTGCATTCCTGTCCCATTAAACCCCAGGCCGGGGACCGGGCCAGGCAGGGATTGGCACCAGGTCAGGGCGGGGTAACCCGTCAGGACCAACCTTGCAACACAGGCTGCCAGGCTGGGAGGGGGTGGGGGCGGCCGGGTGCTGGCCTGGCAGCCGCACCTGGGTGCCAGACTTGCTGTGTGACCTTGGGCCTGCCGCCTACCCTCTCTGGGCCAGTTTTTTTCCCTCTAGAGGATGGCTCAGCTTCCTCCTGGGGCCTGCCTGGCACTTCCTTGGCACATAGTAGATGGAGAGGGAGGTGGATTCCCTCTGGTATAATGTTCAGAAGTGAAGTTGAAAGCCCTCCCCCATCTACAAGGCAGGGGGCGAACCACCTCATCAGGCCTTTGGGGACTGTCAGTGACACATGGTAGGTCCTAGGCCAAGGCTTGCTGAGTGGACTAGAGTGGAACCCTTTGCTACCGTCACAACTCCCAAGGAAACAGGTGCTTTTCTTGGCCCAAGGTCACCCAGCTTGGAGGTGGACGGACCAGGATGTGCTCCTGGGCTGCCGTGGCACATAGTAGGTGTCAGAGGTCCCTGAAGGAGTTCCCTTTTGTTCTCTCCCTGGGTGGGTGTGGGAGCCTGTAACCCCCATTAAGCTGCCCCCCTCCCTGGACTCTCCTCCAAAAAGGCATCAGCTGACGGTTACCTACCTACCTGCTGCTGGCCACCCCCTTCCTGGGGGGTGTGGGTAGGAGGGGGAGGCCCAGCCTCAGCCCTCACCTTGCACCTGACCTTGGGGACTCCTCAGTCTCCTCCCCCTGACCCTCTCCCGGGGCGCTACCCTGGGCTTTGCCCCCTGATGTTCTGGGAACCAGGTTTGGACTCTCCCAGCCTCACCCTGCATCCCCAGTGGGTGAGTGTGGCAGCTTAGGTCAGAGTATTTGAGTCCCAGCCAGGCCACCGCTCTGCTGTATGACCTTGCCCTGGTCTTAGCACCTCTCTGAGCTTCTCCTCATCTCTACAGCCTAGGGTCCACTTAGGTCTTGAAAGTTAGGGCACCGAGGAGGGCCCAAAGCTGGCCCAGGTCCTAGCTGCCTGCTGCAGCAAGTGACCCTAGGTTAGATTGGAGGTGGGACTGGCACCGTCCCTGGTACTGGGTGTGCCTGCTAGCCAGGTGGGCAGGGCTGGGTGTGGGCTCACTCCAGTGCATAGCTCTTTGGTCTTTGGTTTCTCCTGCTGTTTGCTGCACCCCTACTGTGTGCTGCCCAGGGGAGGGCCGGGTGTAGGGGCCTGGGAGCAGCCCAAGAGGGAGGAGGGTGCCCCACCTCCAGCCCAGGAGGAGCCTGCCGAGGCCTGCCCCTCGGCCGGCCGCCGAGTCAGCACCAAACGGCCCCGGAAATCCCATGGAGGCAAGTGTGGGGGTGGAGCTGTGATGAAAGACCGTGCCTTGGGTGGGTGTGGGCCTGAGCTCAGGGACCCTGGCCGTTGAGGGTGTGGACATGGCCAGCGTGGGGGGTGGGGCTTCCTGGAGGAGAGAGGTTTCGTTGGCTCATCATTACCGAGGAAACCGCCAGTGTGGGAGCACCTACTAGGTGTCAGGTGCCGCCAGTAGGGCCTCTTAGAGCAAGGAAGGGCTCTCCTGGTGAAACCCTGCTGTGGCGCACAGTGGGTGCTTAGTCATCAGTACTTTCTGCCACCAGGACCCCACCTGACCTCCGTCTCCCATCTCACAGGGACTTCCTCCCCTTTCTTAGAGGGAGGGCCCCAAGAGGCCCCTGTGGGGACAGCGGCCTGGGGTGTGGCAGGCAGGTGGCATGAGTTCTTGGAGAGAGGGTTAAGCCAGGTGGCCAGTTTAGTTTCCAGGCAGAGAAAAGAGGCTGCGGCTTGCTGGGAAATGTGTAGGTGAGGGTTGGGGGACCACCAGCCTCTCGTCTCTGTGGGCTCCTGGGTCAACCTCGCTGGGTGCTCTCGGCCTGGCTTCTAGCTGTCTCTGGGCCTCAGTGTTCTCATCTGTGAATGGGGCTCATGCTGCTTTCTTGGGCGTTTCCCTTGGCCTGCATCACCCCAGGCCTTGCCCTTGAGAGGAGAGTCTCACATGATTTGTTGTTGTTCAGTCTCCATGTCTGACTCTTTGCGACCCCAGAGACTGCAGCACACCAGGCTCCTCTCTCCTCCACTATTTCCCAGAGTTTGCCCAAATTCATATCAGATGATTAGCTGGGGAAATAAGAGGCCCCAGCTGGGGAAGGTCAGGGACTTGGACCCCCAGACCCAGCCCAGACCCAAGGATTGCCCCACACAGCAGGCTGTGTGCGCTTGGTTCAGCTCTTCCAGCTGGTGGAGACCCAGGCCCAGGGCTTGAACCATCGCCCCAGGATGGGTTCAAAGACAGAGCCCGCTCCTTCCCAACTGGCTGACTTCGCACTTGAAGTAGGTCTGCACCGGCGCCTGGCCTGGTGGGGAGGCGGGGGTGGAGTGGCCATGGCAGAGGTGAGTCACCTGGACCAATTCAGGTCCCGACCTAGAGGCCCCAGGAGGCACCTGAAGGGACACTGGCAGGCAGGGCAAGGGTGGCCATCTTGGCGTGTTGGTGGCCCGGATCAGAGGAGGGGCCGAGGCCGGTCTGATCCGGAGGCCCATCTGCCCACTCGCTCCCAGGGGCCCGGGGCCAGACGGCAGATGGTGGCAGGGGGTAGGAGCCGCCACAGGGGGCTCTGCCGAGGTCTCCTGTGGCCGAGCCTTGGATGGGGTCACGCCCCCCCCCATCCTCCTGCTCCCAACAGCCACATCTGAGCCTCCCCCCCCGCACCCACCGCGGACTGGCGGAACAGAGGGGGGAGCTGAGCAGCTGGTGCGGTCGGCGGGAAAGAGGGCGGGCCGTGGAGAGAGGCGTCCCGGGAAGTGTACTGGCTGCCTGCGCACCACACAAAGGCCTCTGTGTCGGCCCCAAGGCCTGGACCCCGCTCCCAGGGCGGCCCTGGGTCCTTGGGACTGGTTGGGCCAGCCGCCTGCATCCCGCGAGAGGCATACCTAGCAGGAGGGATCGGGTTAGACCTGAGCTGGGTGACTCAGCTGGGGGTCCTGGGGAGGCTGAGGAAGGCTGGATTCAGGCCCTCTCCCCAGGGACAAGCGGGGGCTCCGTCCTGAAAGCAGGCCAGCTGGGCCCAAGGAATGTGGGTTTTGTTGGGTGGCTCTGGGCAGCCAGGGGTTCCCCTGAGAGGGTGGAGGTTGGGGATAGGAGCCAGGGGGTTGCACAAGCGCCCGAGTGGGTGGATGAGTCACAGCCCAGGGGAAGGCGGAAAAAAGGACGGGGGGAGAGGGGCAAGACTGAGTCCCCCTCTGGCCCTGCTCTGCCAAAGGCTTCTGCCCATTTGACAGATGGGGAGATTGAGGCACTAAGAGCGGCAGCGTCTTGTCCTAAGCTGAACAGTGCAGACACGGTGGCCTAAAGGAGAGGAACTGGCCAGGCAGGAGGTGGACAGGAGGCCCCTGGCCCCCCATTACTCCTTGACAGGGTCAGCTCAAGTGGGCAGGGAGGAGCATCTGACAGTGGCCTGGTTCCCCCGTTATTCACTGCAAGGGCTGAGCTATGTCCTGGGGGCTCCACATGGCAGGAAGGGATTCCTCCTGAAGAGTCATGGCCCCACCCCACCAGGGCACACCCACAGCCCCCATGGTTCTGGCCAGGTCCCCGGGTCTTGGCCTCACCCCTTCCTGCTGACTCAGAGCCCCCCAAGAGAACCGGGTCTGACCAAGCAGCAGGAGGGAAGGTTAGGGGGGCTGAGGGGCCGGGCAGGGTTAGACAGCCACACTGTTTGGGTAGTGGCTCTTGGGTCAGGCACCCTGGGTTTGCATTGAGGAGCAGCCACGGGGTCCTGGGACTCCCTGAGCCTCACTTTCTCACCTCTGCAGTGGAGACCACATTGCCTATGGGACTGCAGGGTGCTCAGCCAGAATGGCGCACAGTGGGTGCCTTATGTCACCACCCCGGCCTTCTAGAGAGGGGATGGGCAGAAGCCTGTGCTTAGATTCACTAGGATGCAACTCATGCTGGGCATTTATTGAGCACCTTCTGTGTGCTCCCATGCCACTTCAAACCGCCCCTCAGCCGGGCTCTTCCGTCCATTAAAGAGGGAAGGGGGCTGGTGTTCATCCCTGAGGCACTGACTGGGTTTCGCCAGTGACATCCCACAGTGTCATCACAGTCCGTGATGACCACGGACCACAGACCATCCTAATGCAGAGCCAGGGAAACTGAGGCTGGGGTGGGGGGACTACTCTCCGAGGGTCCTGCTGCCCAGCTGGCCCCATCCGTACCCCCACTCTCCAGCCCTGACCTTTACGACTGCCCCTTGCTCCCTGGTGCTGCAGGTCTCGGCGCGGAAGATGGCCGGCGGCGTGGACGGCCCCATCGGGATCCCGTTCCCCGACCACAGCAGTGACATCCTGAGCGGACTCAACGAGCAGCGGACGCAGGGCCTGCTGTGTGATGTGGTGATCCTGGTAGAGGGCCGCGAGTTCCCCACGCACCGCTCGGTGCTAGCCGCCTGCAGCCAGTACTTCAAGAAGTTGTTCACATCAGGCGCCGTGGTGGACCAGCAGAACGTGTACGAGATCGACTTCGTCAGCGCTGAGGCACTCACGGCCCTCATGGACTTCGCCTACACGGCCACGCTCACTGTCAGCACGGCCAACGTGGGCGACATCCTCAGCGCTGCCCGCCTGCTCGAGATCCCCGCTGTGAGCCACGTGTGTGCCGACCTCCTCGACCGGCAGATCCTGGCAGCCGACGCAGGCGCCGATGCCGGGCAGCTGGACCTCGTAGATCAAATTGATCAGCGAAACCTCCTTCGCGCCAAGGAGTACCTCGAGTTCTTCCAGACCAATCCCATGAACAGCCTGCCCGCCACCGCGGCCGCCTCCTTCCCATGGTCTGCCTTTGGCGCATCCGATGATGACCTGGATGCCACCAAGGAGGCCGTGGCCGCCGCTGTGGCCGCCGTGGCTGCTGGCGACTGCAATGGCTTGGATTTCTACGGGCCCGGCCCCCCGGCTGAGCGGCCCCCAGCTGGGGATGGGGATGAGGGCGACAGCAATCCAGGTCTGTGGCCAGAGCGGGATGAGGACGCCCCGGCAGGGGGCCTCTTCCCAACCCCCGTGGTCCCGCCATCCACCGCCACGCAGAACGGCCATTACGGCCGGGGCGGGGAGGAGGAGGCGGCCTCACTGTCGGAGGCAGCCCCGGAGCCAGGCGACTCTCCGGGCTTCCTGTCAGGCGCGGCTGAGGGCGAGGACGCGGATGGGGCTGATGCAGACGGGCTGGCGGCCAGCACGCTGCTGCAGCAGATGATGTCGTCGGTGGGCCGGGCGGGGGCGGCCACGGCGGGGGACAGCGACGAGGAGTCACGGGCGGACGACAAGGGCGTTGTGGACTACTACCTGAAGTACTTCAGCGGCGCCCACGACGGGGACGTCTACCCGGCCTGGTCACAGAAGGTGGAGAAGAAGATCCGGGCCAAGGCCTTCCAGAAGTGCCCCATCTGTGAGAAGGTCATCCAGGGTGCCGGCAAGCTGCCGCGCCACATCCGGACCCACACAGGCGAGAAGCCCTACGAGTGTAACATCTGCAAGGTCCGATTCACCAGGTGAGTTGGCGCCTCCGCGGTGGGGAGTTGGGGTGCTTCCTGGGGGCCCCTGGTCCAGTGGCTGCACACGGACCCCCTATGCCATCATGTGTGCACACAGGTTCACATCCTGCCTCTGTGTGCAAAAACACCCTACAAGGGTGCCTTCTCCATTGGTGCCCCCCCCCCCACGTGTGCCTGTCAAGAAAGCCTATGATGGGAGTGGGCACACAGCACCTAAAGAGGCTGACCACCTGAACCTAAAGCGTGCCAGGCGGGGCCGAAGTGTGTGAGGCTGGGAGGAAGAGCCCAAGGGGCAACTCTTCTTTCTTTTCTAAAATATTTTTATTTATTTATTGCATCGGGTGTTAATTGCATCATTCAAATCTTTCCTTTCGGCGCACGGATTCTCTAGCTGGGTGCTCATGTCCTCAGGAGCTCCGAGGCATGTGGGATCCTAGTTCCCTGACCAGGGACCAAACCCACGTCCTGGGCATTCCAAGGCAGATTCTTAACCACTGGACCACCAGGGACATCCCTGGCATAGCTCTTCTTCTTTTTCCCTGTGGTGGTTCTTCTCCAGACTGGAGAATCTGGGCCTTGGGAGAACACCACAGCCCCACTGGGAGCAGGGCGCTCTGGTTATTGTGTTTAACTTACAAACCTTCCATGAGCCCAGGGAACCTGCTTCATTCAGCCAACATGTACAAGTGCCTACTGGGTGCCAGGCCCTGTTCTCAAAGTAGAGAAACACCAAAATCCCCATGGGGGCAATGGGCATATGCAGGATATGACCACAGAATTGTTAACATCAGTTGGTGGAAAGTGCTAGGGAGGAAAAGAGCAGAGAACCAGGCAAGAGGGCAGCTGTGGGTGTTGCCCACCACAGGGAGGCTTCCCCGAGGACTGAGACCCAAAGAAGGAGAGGGCAAGGGAAAGGCAGAGAGGGAAGCACCAGTGCAAAGGCCCTGGGGCTGGTTCAGCTTACAGGATGGGCCACAGCCAGTGGAGGAGGAAGGGCACGGGGTCGCTGGGCTTGGGCCCTGGAGAGATGTCTGAGGCCAGGTCTTAGGAGTCCAGAGGTGGCAGGCTGGGCTTTGTGGGCCGGCCCAGTGGGGGCGGGGGGCTGGCTGGTGTGCAGGGGCCTTGCCAGGCTGGGTGACTCAGCATCACCCCCTACCCTCATCCGCCCTGGGGTTCCCCCAGCCACGCCCACCCAGGCTGAAGAAAGAGGCTATTGTCCCAGCTTCCCAGCCCCACCCCATGGGGATAGAATCTGGGGGCTGACCCCCAGCCCAGTACCCGGGCCCCCTTCCCAGCAGGCCAGGAGAGGAGGGTGTGGCTGGGACTCCAGGACTCTGGAGTGCCAGGCAGGGGCAAAGGGCACTGGCTGGGAGGCAAGCCACCTGGATGGTGGCTTGGCTTCCCCTTTCGGTGAGATTGGGGTGCTGGTGGTCTTGGGGTCCTTCCTTTCCCTCCAGAAATGGGGAGGGTGGACTGGGATAGCTGGGGTCCTGCCCTCAGGATCTCTGAGCCTGGGAGGAGCAGCTTGGAGGAGACCTAGCAAGCCCAGGTCTGGAGAAGTAATGTCCCTACTCCACCACCCATCCCGCCAAGGCTTCATTTCATCTAATCTGGAGTTCTCTTGGCCGCCCCACATTCAGCTCGGGGCTGATTCCTTTTACTGTTTACTGATTCCCTCAGTCAGGGAAACTGAGGCATGGAGTATCTTCCTCCCATATGCCCACCTGGCTCCTCTCTGCCCACCCCCACCCAGGGCCCCAGCTCCCACCCCTCCAGACCGGGGAGCCTAGGGGCCCCTCTGAGTCACACTAGAGAGTTGAGTAAGCGCAGCCTGTGGCGGCCGGGGCTATAATTACCCGGGCCGGGGCTTGAAGTGATGAAACCCAGGCTGCCTCCACCACCCACCGCACCTTGGCGCAGCCCCCAACCCTCTGTGCAACTCAGTGCAAGTCACTTCCCCTCTCTGAGCTTCTAAGCCTCAGCTGGGGCAATCTCCATGTAGTGCTAGAATAGTCTGAGTCCCTCCTGTTCCCTCCGTGACATGGCCCCAGGATGTGAGCAGGGCACCTGAGCAGGTAGAAGGGGGAGCGCCTGGCAATTGCCATCGTCTTCCTGGTGACAGCCCCAGTTAATCTAGGGAACAGTGAGTTCATTGTGGCCCAAATTCTGTTGGCTCATGTGAGGGTAACAAGCCAGAGAGTAGTCAAGGGTCTGGTTGCATTGGGCCAGGATTTGATCCTCAGGACAGCAAGAAGCCTAGAAGAGTTAGAACAGGCAGGGACATCAGCTCGGTGAGTGGTGCCAGAGGAAGAGACTTGGGACTGAAAGAGGCTGGGTGGCGGCAGGGGTTAGGTGCAGGCTTTGTGTTAGGGATAGGAAAGACTTCCTGGAGGCAAAGGGGCATTTCATGTGGGGTTTTGAAGGATGAGTAGGAGTCTATTAGTCTTGGCACTGAAGAAGTTCTCAGTCTGGTGGACATCAGAAGGGAGAGACCCAGAGGGACTCAGTAGAGTGCAAGAGTCTGCAGCAAAGAGCAGGTCAGATGCTTGCCGGAGTTCTGGAGATCCAGGTCCCTGCCCCTGCCTTGTGGATTCCAGGAAGGAATCCACCCCCATCAGTATGAACCAGCATAGTGCAATAGAAACACCATGTGAGCCACCTCTGTGACTTTACATTCTCTGGCAGCCACATTTTCAAAAAGTAAAAGGAATAGGTGAAAGTAATCTTAATCATATTTTGCATAATCTGTTAGTTTCATTTCAACATGTGATTAATAAGCAAAATTATAAATGAGATATTTCACATCACTTTGAGTAAAAGGAAGTCTTCAGAATCTGGGGTGCCTTTTGCACTTCTTGCACACCTTACTTTGGACCAGTCACATTTCAAGAGCTCAGCAGGACAGAGCAACACTTGCACCATGGTAACCCCAGAACTGATGAGATGATAGGTTTTGTAGGCCAGAGGTCCTAGGCTGAGTCTGGTCCACACTGCTGTTTGTGGGGTGAGAGGGGCAGAGAGGGACCCTGGAATCATACCCTTCTCTCATGGCTCACAGTTCAGACAGGGAGACAGACGAGAAACAAGGCAGTAGCACAAAGGACCAAGAGTGAAGGAGTGCTGGTTGGGCCTCTCTGAGAAGCTCACATTTGGGCCAAAATTCAGTTGTGAAGATCTGAGAGGAAAAACAGTGCTCTGGTCGTGGGAGCAGCATGTGTGAGGGCCCTGTTGTAGGCCCGTGGTTCTTGGTGTGCTGGGCTCATAGCCAGGAAGCCAGCATGGCCAGAGTGGACTGAGGCAGGGGAGGGGGGATTTGGCAGGAACTAGGGGGTGGGGGGACTTGGTTACTGCTATGACCAACTGCCCTGTATTTCCAGTGACCCAGGGGTTTCCCAGGACAGAGATCTTTCAGAGCTAAAACCAGGACTATTTAACCCTCTCAGTCACCAATTCCTCCAGGACCCACGGCATTCCACCTTGTTCTCTGGAGCATTTTCAGCACCTGGAACAGGGTTTCCCTGGTGGCTCAGATGGTAAAGAATCTACCTGCAATGCAGGATACCCTGGTTTGATCCCTGGGTGGGGAAGATCCCCTGGAGGAGGGCATGGCAACCCACCCCAGTATTCTTGCCTGGAGAGTCCCATGGACAGAGGAGCCTGGCAGGCTACAGTCTATAGGATCGCAAAGAGTCAGACATGACTGAACAACTAAGCATGCACATACTCAGCAGGGATAAATACCTGTAGTGTTAAGCTATACGTCTGCCACTGGGCAGAACCCCAGGCAGTAGAGAGGCGTCTTCCCTTCCTCTTTCTATGGATAAGAAAGGGGTTTCAGTGGGACTTCCCTGGTGATCTAATGGTTAAGACTCCAAGCTTCCACTGCAGGGGGGCACAGGTTTGATTCCTGGTCGAGTAGCTAAGATCTTGCAGCGCAGCCAAAAACAAAAGGTGAGGGGTTTCAGTGGGACTTTCCTGGTGGTCCAGTGGTTAAGAATGCACTTACCATCTTGCCATCTCTGGTGAGTGAGTTGATCCAGCACTGTTGACAAAAAAAGAAAGAGGGTTTTAGGTTCAGCTGTTGTTCTGGGGCCACACAGCCAGCAGGGTCTGAGGCCCTTTTTAGACTTTTGTGGGTTCCTCAGTGCTGTTCTCAGAATGGGGACCTAAACCCGCTCACCGTGTTCCGCTGGGGTGCCCTCCCTGCCCCCCCAACCCAGGGTGCAGCCCATCTTCCCATGAAGGTCCCAGTTTCCCGCTCCAAGGCCAGTGGGGCGGGCTGGGCAGGGCTGGCATCCTGGGAGGGGGGCTGCCCTCCGGCGCGCCCGCTGACCCTCGGCCCGTCCACAGGCAGGACAAGCTCAAGGTGCACATGAGGAAGCACACGGGCGAGAAGCCGTACCTGTGCCAGCAGTGCGGGGCGGCCTTCGCGCACAACTACGACCTGAAGAACCACATGCGCGTGCACACCGGCCTGCGGCCTTACCAGTGCGACAGCTGCTGCAAGACGTTCGTGCGCTCCGACCACCTGCACAGACACCTCAAGAAGGACGGCTGCAACGGCGTGCCCTCGCGCCGTGGCCGCAAGCCCCGTGTGCGGGGCGGGGCGCTTGGGGGGCCCGACCCCGCTCCAGCCCCTGGGGCCCCCGCGGCCCCACCGCCTGGCGCCCCCGCCCCGCCCGGCTCGCCCGAAGATGACACCGCTACCGCCGCGCGGCGCAATGGCCAGGAGAAGCACTTTAAGGACGAGGACGAGGAGGAGGACGAGGCCAGCCCCGATGGCCTGGGCAGGTTGAATGTAGCGAGCGCCGCAGGGGGAGGCGACGGGGGCTCCGGGGCCACCACCGCCGACGGCAGCTTCGCGGCCGGACTCGCTTGAAAAACCAAAAAAAAAAAAAAGCAAAACAGAAACCCGAGAAAGTGAGAGAGAGAGAGAGAGCAAATCACCCACCACCCCCCAAAAACACAAAAAAAGAAAATCTCTATATACAGATATCTATATCTATATATATATATATATATATACAGATATATATATATGAAGCGTCACAGAATCTAGGGTAGTGCTTTTCTCCGATTTTTCTCCTTCATGACCGTTCTCCCCCTCCACGGGGACCCTTGCCCCACCTGCACCCCACCCCCAGCCCCCAGCCCCGCTTCTCCCCCACCCCATCGATGGCTTTCGGGGCTTGGTTTGGGGTTTTTGTGGGACACAAGGATTCTGAACTCCCTGGGCGACCCCCCCCCACCACTGCCACTGGGTTTGGGTCTGGGGTCCCATCTGAGGCCTGATCAGGATCCCAGGTCCCGGCAGGGGTGAGGGTGGTCTCAGGGGAAGCCGGGGACCCAGGTGGTCTTTTCTTTTCCTTCCCTCACTGGTTTCTAGAGTCTTCGAGACAAGACCTTAAAAAATGATTTTTGTCCGCTGTGAGTGGACGTTAAAATGGCCCCACCCCCACCCCCACCCTCCTTCCTCAGGGCACTTCCTAAGTGGGGGTCTCCCCCTCCATCTCTCCCACTGCCTCCCTGCCTCCCATTCCTGCCTGTGGGCCCCCGTTATCTCCTGGCCACTGCAACACAAATCTATTTTATTTCCAGGTGTGGAGAAAGGGAAGAAGATGGGGAATGGGGGGATGCCAGGGTGACTCCCCAAGGGCCCCCGCCGCCTTTCTTCACGGCACTTACAACCTGGCGGGACCCAATGGGCCACCACTCAGGGCGTCCCTGCCACCCCCTGTCTTCATCCCCTGACCCCGTGAGACACTTGGAGATTGGAAACTATTTGTCCTCACCCACTCCCCTCCCCAGCCCTCTCCCAGTTTTTAAAAGCACTTTTTATTAGATTTTTTTCCCTCTTTTCCTCCTTAAAGACAAAATTTATATATAGATATATATATATATATAAAATATACTTTTCCTCAGAGGAGCGGACGATAGTGAGGGGGTGAAGGAGCCAAGAGCAGGAACCCAGGGTCTCACAGTGTCAGGGATGGGGGAGCTAGAGTGTCCAGAAGTTCCAGTGTCACAAAAAGCAATAAAAACAAGATTTTACAAAAATGAAAGAAAAAAAAAACACAACAACAAGACAACCAACCACAAATAGGAGTCTTGGCACTTTGTAACAGAACGGGTACTACACTTTATCTTAATTTAAAAAAAAATGTTTACAAGTTGCAACCAACTTCTATGAAAAGTCAAAAAGACAAAAAAAATAAAGAGAGCGAGCGAGCGAGAGAGAGAGCGAGCGAGAGAGAGAGCAAACAAATTCCTAAAAGTCGATTTATTTTTGTACAAAATAATAAAAAGACAAACCCACCACAGACGTAGAATCCACTTCTGTTCCCCGAGGTGAGCAAAGGGGGTCAGGAAGTCATGGGCGAGCGAGGGCAAAGCCTTCTAAGGCATTTGTGCTTTACCACAGGGGCTTGCCTTCAGGCAGGACTGTGGGGTTTTTGTGTTTCTGCCGTGTCCCCCCACCCCCACCCCACCGAACCCGCCCCCTCCCCCTTCTGTCCCTTTTTTGGGTTCTGATTTTGAGATGTCTCATCAACTGCTAGCCATACAGTGGCCACCATTGTCCGCGGGGACCCTCCTTACCGACTCCCCAGCTCAGGGATGGGCCCAAGAGAGGGCTGGCCTTCCAACCAGCCAGAGCATTCCTGTCTCCCTGCCCTTGTCCCCCGCAACCCCGACACCCCCCCACCAACCTCCAACATGGCCGCCCTTCCTGTGGCCACCGGGGAGCTGCCATCTTGGATCCACAATCCCCGTCGAGGTGGGCAGCAGGGGGCCCCACCTCCAGGGCCTTAGATTCCCCCTGCACCCCTCTTTTTACTCAAAGGCACTGACTGTAATTGGGGGCTGGCACCTGCCTCCCCCCAGCCTCTGGCCCCCACCCCCCCAAAGGACCGGTGTTGACCGAGCCACAGGCCACGGACTGGGGCCAGGGCTGGGGAGACCATGTTGCCAGAGGCCAGGGCACCCTTCCCCCAACCCCTAACCCCCTGTCGCATATGCAACCCTAGCGTGGGACCCTGTAAATAGACACTCTGCTGAGCTGAGACCCTTCCTAGTCAAAGCCCGAGGTGCAGGGGCATCCCTGCCCCCCCCCCCCCCCCCGCCACTTCCAGCCACTGGCCCATCACCCCGCACCCCTCTGTTCTGTGACAAACCCCGTCTTGTTCTTGTTTTTAAAGGGAAGCTTTTAAAGAAGGCAACTTTCATCATTGTTTCTACAGGATAGTTTTGTTTCCTCCTGCTCCCCCACCCCCCGAGCCCATCAGCCCCCCAAATGTCTCAGGACACCCCCTCCTGAGGTGGGTGGCAGGGGAGCCCAGGGCCGGGTGGCCCCGTCCACACCCCAGTGTCCTGAGGCAAGCTCGAGTGCCCAGGCCAGGGACCCCCAACCCCCCACCCCAGCTCCCAGAGAGGTTCCCTGAGGGGCTCAGCCCTCTCCCAAACACCCCCTCGCAATAAAGCCAACTGAAAAATCACAGCTGTCATCCTGGCCAGGGGGGCGACTGGACTTAGGGGAATCCAGGCCTCTAGGACTACGGGGTGGGGAGGGGGGCCAAGGGCTGAACCCCCCGCCGAGCACACTTTAACACAAACCTCCTCGGGAATTGCACTAAATCCTTGCCCCTAGCTCCGCGCTCAGCTTCCGCCAGCCCTGCCCACCCACTCCGCCTTAACCTTCCTCTTGCTGCCCGCCCGCTAGCCTGTCTCGGGGGGCCGCAGCATCTGCATGGGCCCAAAGCCGGGACCCCCTCACCCTCCCAGCCCAGCCTCCCACCCCAACTCCACGCAATCACATACTGTATATAGACGTGGATCAATTTTATTTTTATTCTTTAAATTAAGGTCGTGATAAAGTGTTGCCAAAGATAACTGCTGAATTCTCGCGTTTCAGGAAACAAACAAACAAAAAACTATTTGAGGGGGAACGTGCTGACTGTTCAGAAAGGACACAGCAAAAAGTTTTTTTGTTTGGTTGTTTTTTTTTTTTTTTCTACTCACTCCCAGTCTTTTGTAATGCCATTTTCTAAACTCCTTTCTGAGTATAGTCNAAAAAAAAAAGAAAGAAAAAAAGAAAAACAGCGAAATTGTTATTTCCATCATCTTGGTGAAGCTGAGTGGATGTGTGTGTGTGCGTGTGTGTGTGCGAGAGTGAGGTCCGGGCACAGGGGGAGCTCCAGGCGGGGGCTCTGGGGGCACCCCGGGGCTGGGGTAGCGGTGGGCCTGGCAGGATGGTGGGGGCCGGAACCCTCACCTGGAGCGGTCTCCAGCCTGCAGGACCAGAGAGAGAGAGAAAGAGAATTAGCATACTTGCTGCTGCCCCCTGGCTAGCCCCCCACCTTGATCCCCACCCCGCCTTTTGAGATTAAGAGAAAAAAATAAAAAAGGAAAAAAAAAAACTTAAAAACCAGTGAATGTAAAGTGCCGGACCAGGCCCAGCCTGGCAAGGGTGTGGGTCTGGGCCTGTACCCAGGCAGGCTCCCCCGGGGCCATACCAAAGTCTGCCCCCCCACCATGGCCGGCTCGCCCAGGAGACCCCTCATAGCCCTCCTGTCTTGTCACCCTGTTTGTACCTGGCTGTCCCTTTCCTTTCTTCTAAGGGAGCGGGGTCTTGGGTGGGGGGAGGAGTCCCCAGCCCCTTAGAGGGTCTTCTGGAAGAGTCTTTGCACTACTGAGACCCATCTCATCCCATGTGGTGGGACAGAGGCAGGGGCCCCTCCAGGACCAAGGCAGTTCAGGAAGCCAGGATTGTAGGAGGTGAGAAATGGAGAGACTGAAAGGAAGAGCAGGAGAAAAAAATAAAAATCCACACAAAAAAAAGCAAAAATCCTATTTTTTGAGAAAGAAAGATATTTATATTTGCAGTTTTATTTTAAAAAGTTATTTAAGCTGAGGAAGCAGCCTTCCTGGAGCGGGAGTAGGGGGATGTTGGCTGGTGCAGGACGGGTCAGGGCCTGGGGCACCCCAGGAGTGATAACCTCAGAGTAAGACTAGCTCGCACTAAATATATTGATTTACAGGGGGGTGGGGGGCAGGGCTGGAGAGGGAGGGGCCTGGGGAGACCCCCATCCTGCAGCTAGAGCTGCCTGAAGGCTGCAGCCACGGGTCCCCCCTGCCCCACCTGGGCCCACAGACATGAGGTGCCTTGGACTTTGGGGGGCCAGGCCTGGTGGAGCAGGGCGGGGTGGCGCCCATGGGGGGCACAGAGCACAGAGCAGACATTCCAGAGACTGTATTTGAGAGTCTTTATAAAGTGTGGGAGATTTAAAAAAAAAATTAATTGATAAAAATGCACTTTTTGGGGGCGGGGAGGGAGAAGCTTTAAAAGTAATAATAATAAAAAAACAAAAAGACAAAAGATGATGAAAAACTAGACAAAAAAATCATTTTTCTTGTACATAAAAAAAACCACTAAACGCAGCCTGTTATGACCGCTGCTGTCTCAGTTGCCTGATTTTGATGTTCTTTGTGTTTTGTTGCGGGCCAGGGAGGAGGGAGGGAGAGAGGGGAGTGGGGATGGGGGGTTGGGGGGACCCTTCCCTAGGGGCTGGGCCCCTTGTCCACACTCCTTGGGGACTCCACCTATTCGAGTTCCTTAAGCTCAACCTGACCCTTTCTGCCAGGCCTGGATGCAGTGACCCCGCCTCTGGGCTCCTACGGAGGGGTAGATGTCACCAGCAGTGCCAGACCCGGGGGCCCCTACAGAGGAGGTGACCTGTACCCCCCAGGCACGGGTGGGTGGCACCAGGAAGGGATCTGAGGGATGGTGAGAGCAGGGGCTGGCAGGGAGAACTGGCTGGGCAGGCTCCTTGGTCACCTGCAGGGTTTCTGGAGGCCCTGGGTGGGGTGGCCTTGGCTGGGGAACCCCAAGTCTGCCAGAGGGCCCTGCTGACATGCTCCAAGATCTGAGCTGACCGCTCCCCCTACATTTCATGGTGGGGGAGTCAGGCCAGGGCCCACTCAGTGGGGAGGGGGCCGTCAAGAAGCTGCAGCCCCCTCCTCTGGTTCGGGGCCCTGGGAGGGTCCTTCCCACTTCTGTCTCCTAGACTCAACTGGGGCCAGCAGGGCTGGGGTTGGGGTGGGGTGATGGAGGGGCCACCATGACCTGGGAGGCCCTGGCTGGGAGGTTGCAGAGTGACGACTCCAGGGGTCCTCCATCAGTGGTGAGGTCACTCACCTATCTGTGCTCATGTGGACCCAGGCCTCCAACTCGGGCTGGGTGGGGTGGGGGGTTAGGGGTTCCATGGCCAGATCCCAAAGGGACCTGAGCCAGCCATGAGGGAGACGGGAGGCCTCTGATGAGGACAGACCCAGGGATGGATGATGGTTCTGCAGCTCCTCAGCCCAGGAGGGCATCTTCACTCAGGCTCCCCTGCCTCCCACGCTGCAAGAAGTCGTCATGTTCAGAGAACTGTGCAACCGTCCCCTCCATCCAGTTCCAGAACATTTTCACCACCCCATCAAGACCACCCCTCCCCCCTTGAGCACTCACTCCATATGCCCCTCTCCCACCCCGGGTACCCACCCTGTCTCTGTGGATCTGCCTGTTCTGGATGTTTCATGTAAATGGAATCACACACTATGTGGTCTTGTGTGTCTGGCTTCTCTCACTGACCATCACATCCTCAAGGTTCATCCTCATTGTGGCAAGTGTCAGTGCTTCACTCCTTTTTAAGGTCGGATCATTTTCCACTGGGCTTCCCTGCTGTCTCAATGGTAAAGAATCTGCCTGTAGCATAGGAGACTCAGATGTGGGTTTTGATCCCTGGGTCTGGAGGATTCCCTGGAGACTGTGGCAACCCACCCCACTATTCTTGCCTGGAGAATTCCTCGACAGAGGAGCCTGGCGGGCTACCGTCCATGGGGTTGCAGAGTCAGACACGACTGAAGTGACTTAGCACCCACATAATCCACTGTGGATGGAGTGCGTGGTGTGTCCGTCCATCTGTTGACGGACACCTGGGTTGTTTCCCAACCACCTTTTGGCTGTTGTGAATCATGCTGCTGTGACCACGTGAACACTTATGTACCAGTGTTTATGTGAACCTGTTTTCATTTACCTTGCGGGAAGACACCTGAGCAGAGCCATTGGGTCAGATGGCAACCCTGGCCAGGACTCTCCCACTGCGGCTGCTCCAGGGCCTCACTTCTCCCCGATCCTCACTGACTAGCCGTCCTAGTGGGGACGA